TACCGCAGGAAAACATCCCGATTCGAAGAAGACTCGACTACAGAGACGACTCCTCTTACCAATACTAACCAGCAAGCGCAGTTGTCAGTTCCTCAGCTTTCGCCGAGGGACACTCCACCTTACGGCACAGTCGATTCCCATTCCGCCACCATCGCTAACTCGCAGGTTCCCCATCAGTCGACGGTCCAGCTGGGGAAGCTCACTCTTGAGCCTTTCTCCGGAGACATCACGCAGTTCCAGAGATTCTGGCGTGCCTTCGAGGTAGCGATTCACGACGATGTCACCATAAGTACGACGTATAAGTTCCTCTACCTGCAAAGGCCTCCTCAAGGGCGAAGGCGCAGATCGTGTTGCAAGGATCTGGACCCCGACGAGTGCAACTACTACGAGTTAGTACGCGCACTCAAGAAGAGATACGACCGGCCGCATAAGACCCGCGCAACGTTGCACAAGCAACTCCAACAACTCCCAACAGCCGGTAGTTCAGGCACGGATCTACGCAACACATGGTTCCGCATCTCAGGCATCCTTAGAGGCCTTCGCAAGTTCGAAGATTTTCGCACTGTCTTGCCGATCCTCGACTTAGTCCGCAGCAAATTCCCCTCGGATATCCAACAGAAGCTTCATGATCTAGAGTTTCAATCAGGCGCAGATTTCGATATACATCAAATCATGCACCACCTAGATCATATCATCGCCTCGAGGGAGAAGTACGAGGATACAACAACCCTTCAAGACAGCTACTCCATCAACAACACCTACGGTGGCCAGCGCACAAGATCAAGGTCACATTCACCGCGAAGCGAAATTTCTGGTTGTGCCTTTTGTGGGTCAGCATCGCATAAAACGCGTAACTGCTCAGTCAAAATTCCAACCCACGCACGCATCAACATCGTCAAAGTCCTTAACCTTTGCTGGAAATGCCTGGGCCAAGGTCATTCACGTCGCAGCTGTCGGTCCTCAGGTTGCAGCAATTGCTCAGGAGGTCATCACGAACTTCTATGCGAACACCGTCCACGTGAAGAACGATCGCGTCGTAGCTCTCGCCGGCACGATACTCACAAGCCGCGCAGACACGACTACGACCGCAGCAGGCGAGAATACCGTTCGCCTTCCAGGGACAGATATCCATCAAGAAGCCCCTCACAAGGAAGCTATCGTCGCAGCAATTACACCGACAGCGATCGCTCAAGATCTCCATCTTGGGAGAACCGTCGCCGTAATCATAGTCCACGGCCTTACTCTCCAGCAAGGCGACATTCGCGTTCGCCCAATCGTGTCACCTTCGATTCACCACCGCGCAGCCGTCAATACCACAGTCCCGTAAGGGATACCCAACGGGGTTGGCGCTCAGGTTCACCGCATCCAGCTGCCTTTCAACATCAGGCACAAGACTCAGACGCAGAATTAGAGCAACTCAATCATTGCTATCAGTCACGCAACATCAAACGCGCAGCAGCTAAGCAACGTTAATGCTAGTCGACGCTAAAGCGTACAACTATGACGCATCAAAGCTGGAAAAGGTTGTTCTGCTCCTAGATTCGGGAGCCCAAAATAGTTTCATCACAACAAGTACAGCGCAGCGGTTAGGACTGCCAATTTACAATCAAAAAGAGCGCACTTTCATTACGTTCGGAGGTCTCCAGACCACCGAAGTTACAGGTATAGTCGATGTCGATCTACTCGACATAAATGATAGCGTAGTCAGGCTCCATCTCACTACCAAAAATATCGTAACATTGCCGCAGTCTCTGCCAAAACTTTCAAGCGCAGATGTCAAGTTCATCAGAAAACATCACTTGCCAGTCCCATCTAGTCATACGTCGCACTCGGTATTGCCAGACATACTCGTTGGAATTGACAGTTACTGGGACGTTCTCTTACAGGAACCACCAGTCTGTCTGCCATCGGGTATGGTACTGACACATACAAGGTTTGGTACCGTCGTGTCGGGAAATTCGGTTTTTCACTCGGGATTCCGAAGAGCCCAGCGACCGACGAAGTACTCGCAACATCCGACGCAGACGATGAGCTGGCAAGACGTCTCTGGTCACTTGACTCATTAGGTATCACAGACAGCCATCATCCAAAGGCAGATGATGAGCTCAATGCTCGCATTTTAAATAAGTTTTTTAGCTCTTCAAAATTTATCGACGGTTATCTTTACGTCCAGTTTCCTTGGAAACAAACGCATCCAAAGCTGCTCGACAACAAGCAGCTAGCATATTGCCGTCTCGTTAGTCAATACCAGCGTCTCCATCAAAATAAGTCCGCCTGGAAACAATACGTCAACGCGATTGAGGATCATCTCGCAGCCGGTTTCGTTGAGGAAGTCGACGAATACGTCTTTGATAACCATCGCGTCTACTATATTCCTCATCAGGCAGTTTACAAGGAGTCCTCCTCGACAACGAAGTTACGCATAGTCTTCGATGCATCGTCTAAGACTCGGGGTGCACCCAGTCTTAACGATTGCCTCCATCAAGGACCTACCTTGTTGCCGGAATTAGCCGGTATCCTCTTGCGCACTCGTCTTTATCGTTTCCTCTTGATCGCAGACGTCGAAAAGGCGTTTCATCAGATTCGCCTTCAACGCTCGCAACGAGACGCCACTCGTTTTCTCTGGCTCAAAGATCCGTTTAGTCCGCCATCGCCAGGCAATTTACGAGTCTTTCGGTTTACGCGCATACCCTTTGGGGTAAACGCGTCGCCGTTCATGTTAGCTGCCGCCATTCAATTCTATTTACGCCATCTTCGCAGTCCGCTCTCCAAGGAAATCGAGCGCAACACCTACGTTGATAACGTCGCACTCGGAGCTACGTCTCACGCAGAAGCCATCCAAAAATATCAGATGGCAAAATCTGTCTTTGGTGATATGCACATGAATTTGCGACAATTCGTGTGCAATTCGAACGTTGTCAACAATGCCATACCAGCGCAGGATCGAGTCGCCGATCGGCAGTGTACAACACTCCTAGGCATCGCATGGAACTACCATCGGGATAGTCTTAACATGGCGATCAAAACGTTAGACGTTCCAGTCAACTCCAAGCGCACAGCACTTCGTGCTCTAGCGTCTACGTACGATCCTCTTGGCCTACTCACGCCGTTCTTTTCCAACATCAAAATCTTCGTTCAAGATCTGTGGGCCAAGCAGAAGGCTTGGGACGAACCACTGGATCAGTCTGATCGTCAGCGTTGGTCGGATCTTCTCGCAGACCTTAAGCATCCGCTTCCAGCGATACCTCGTCTCGTTCTGCCGCAGTCGTACACCTCTGGCTCGGTAGAGTTGTGTGTCTTTCGGAGACGCGTCTAAACGCGTCTACGCTTGTTGCGCATATCTTCTTTGCAAATCGACATCCTCTACGACGTCAGGCTCGTTATGGCAAAATCGCATCTCAACGACCTCAAGCCCATAACGATTCCTCGCTCAGAACTTCTTGCAGTTCTAATCAGTGTTCGCCTAGCGCAGTATATTGTCCAGCAATTGGACATCACCATCTCGGCGATTCACTTCTTCTCGGATTCGCAAATTGCCCTACATTGGGTCCATTCAACGCGACAGTTCAAAGTCTTTGTCCAAAATAGGGTAAACTCCATCAAAAACATCCTCGCGTCTTTCCACCAGCAGAACATCACCACCAAGTTCTACTATGTCGCATCCAAAGACAATCCGTCGGATTGCGCTACTCGTGGTCTGTCCACAAAGGACGCAAAAAATCATATCTGGTGGACCGGGCCATCGTTTTTACTTCAAAATCCATCTCTATGGCCAAACGCGCATCTGGATTTCTCTTTGCCGCCTCAGGGCGACAAAGACTGCGAGTCTGAGTATCAGACGGTTCATACTGCTCAAAAGCGCAGCTTCGTTTCAGTATTGCCATTTGCATATACTAATAAGTTCAGCAAGCTGCTCAACATCACAGCGTATATACTTCGTTTTCTGCGCATTAGGATCTTTGCTCGCACCTCTGCAGCAATGCAGGAGTGCCTGGAAAGATCCCTGCCGCAAGTTACCAAAATCAGCGCAAACGGAGCATTTTCAGCATCGGATATGTCTACCGCAGAGTCAATACTCATTCTTGCTCATTATCGCGAACATGAGCACATTCTACAGCGTCTGCCGTTATCACGTTTTCAAGCGCAAAAGGACGATAACGGTCTTATTCGTTGTCCAGTTCGCGTAGGGCTATATTCGACGGCTCCAATACTCCTTTTGCCATCGCATAAGCTTGCCAAAATCGTCATCTGGCAACACCATTTGCAACAGCGCCATTCGGGAGTATACTCCACCATTTCTAGCTTGCGCAAAACGTATTTCATACCATCAATCCGCAGTATTGTCGCCAAAACGCTCCGCGAATGCGTCATCTGCAAAAAAGCTAACGGTCACGCATATCGTTATCCAGACATGCCCACTCTGCCAAAGGAACG